GTCGTCAGGTCTCTCTTACCTGCAGCCTGTTCTGCTTCACTTGCCAGTGTTTCGTAGAAGTGTCTTTTGTCTTTGCGTGCACTCTTCTTCACTTCTTTGTCCAGTGTTTTATACATTGTGCTCAGTTCCTCTTGTCGTTGAGCATCCTTGCACTGGTTTATCTTCTGCTTCACCATCCTCCTCTCCTCTATCAGCTTCCAGGTATCCGTCGAGATCCATTCCTTGTCTTCTTTCTTCTTCCTTCCTAATACTGTTGTGCAGGTTTCTTTCCACATAGCTTTCAAAGACTTCCAGTGTTCTTCCACACAGGTTTCTTCAGGGATGTTGCTCGATGTCTCCCATTTTGTCTTGATGGCTGCCTTGAAGATCTCCTTTGTAGTTTCATCCTTCAGTTTCCGAGTGTTGTACTTGAATTGAGGTCTATCACCAGCTTCCTTGAAGGCTTTTAACTTGATTTGGAAGGTTCCTTGCACTAGGTAGTGGTCTGAACCTACATCTGCTCCTCTTCTTGACCTTGTGTTAAGTAGACTGCGTCTCCATTTTCTTGAGATTGAGATAAAGTCGATTTGATTTTTAGTGTGTCCATCTGGTGAAATCCATGTCGCTTTGTGGATATCTTTGTGCCTGAACACACTGCCTCCAATCACCAAATCGTTGAATGCGCAGAATTCTGCAAACAATTCTCCATTCTCATTCATTTCACCTAGTGCCTCTCGACCCATGGTTAGTTCTCTTCCCGTGTTGTCCCCTCCCAGTTTGGCATTCATGTCGCCCATTAGAATTTTGATATCGCCAACTGACGTCTTGTCCAGTGTTGATTGAAGTTGTCTGTAGAAATCCTCCTTTTTCTCTTGCTCTGCATTATTTGTAGGTGCATAACATTGTATGATTGTGACCTTTCTTCCTTTTGAGTTGAATCTTGCTGTCATGATCCTGGAGGAGATTGGTTCCCACTGCATGAGAGCCTTCGATGCTCTTGAGGACATCATGATAGCCACTCCCTCAGTGTGCTCGTGGTTGGCGTCTGGGTGACCGGAGTAGATTATTGATTCTCCAGTTGACAGTTTGGAGAGTCCACTCCCATTCCATCTGCTTTCGCAAATCCCAAGCACTTCGATGTTATACCTTCTCATCTCCCTTGCAATCTGGGCTGCCTTACTGGGTTCAAACATCGTGCGGACATTCCATGTCCCCACGTTTACTTTCGCTTTCATCGAGAGAAGACACATCGGCCAATTGGCTTCCCGAAGGCTTTCACCAACTGGCGTCATTTCGCCTCTCCGATTCCAGCGGGGAATAAGTTTGTTTTCATTTTTTATATTTTGTTTGTGCTTTGAAGTTTCTTTAGCGGTTAGATTTGTTTTACGGGGTAGGGTTGCTAGCCCTATGCCCAACCTTCCCTCTTTACCCGGGCTTAGGACCGGCTAGTAACTAGTAAACTAGTTAACCAGGCGAGGTTTATATATATATATATATATATATATATATATATATATATATATGTAAAGTGATAAAAACGTTACCTGGGAAGACACATACAATTCAGTATTATAGTAAAATGGATGTAATACAGACTGAGTGCCATAGGTAGGATGAACATCTATGATTGCATGCGAGGTGATATTCCATATAGACTATCAATCACCAGTGAAATACAATCAGAATGGAAGAAATTTAAAATCACACTACAGTTAGCTTAATGTTATCTGGAGAAAATTTTAAAACTATACAGCCAGGAAATTAACAGTTATCTTCAGTCTTTAGAAGCAATTGACATAGTAGTTGAAACTACTACATCGAGTTAGATAGATTCTACGCAGGTTTACCCGAACGGAGATGAGTACGAATGTGGATGCATTGAAGCCTAACAGTTGAGAGGGTTCTGTGGTAACACTGATCACTTCGACGGGGTGTAAACAGTATACTCTGTTAGGAGCCTTTCTTTTAACATGGATGCATTCCTTGGATACCTTCTACTGGGGGAGGGGATTGATCCGCCAGGCTTGTGTTGGAGTGTCCATATATCTGAAGATTGACGTGGAACTTGAAGCTGATCCGAAAATTCGAGTGAGACCTAAGTTAGCCAACCATCGGATATATTATTTTATTGGTAGTATCTAACAAAACGATGAACGCTTTTTCACAATTATATGCAATCCAAGACACAGAAATATCTTTATCATCAAACAACAACCATTACGAACAACTCAAAAATAAATTCGATGAAATACTTCGTTGTCAGCTACATAATTACTATGTACTGCGTAAAGTTTTTTAAGTGCTTCCTCCGTTTTATGCACTTTTTCAAGTGGTGTTTATTCTATGACATAATACTTTTTGTAAGCAAACTATATCATGAGTGACATTCATACGAATTATTCTAGTAAGATTAAAACGTTATCTGAAATAAACCCAAAAAAAGAATGGGTAACCTATTATTTATGCAATATATATGTTTTTTTTGACTTCAAATTGGTATTCATCGTGGACTGACATCGAGGAACACTGAAAAACTGGGAGCACTGGACAGCTGTTTCGTTCTAGTATGGGAGTCAGCAGAGCGCAACCATGACCCTGTCAGGGATCAAAGCTAGGACCTCCAGGTTTTGCTACTAGCCTGTTAACTTTGGACAGACGGACTCCAATCCACTGGTCCATATTTTCCACTTTGTTGAACCTGAAGGTGATGGATGCGCACTACTAGGGAGTCCTATACCATGAAGAAACAGCTATCCACTGCTCTTACGTTTCCAATATTTCTCCAACTTATATCAGTCCATGATGAATACCGACATGAAATCAATAAGTAAATTCCCACAAACCTTCAAGCTGAAAATATTTTTTTTGTCAAACATATCCCATTTTCTTAACAGACTAGAAAAAAACTACAATCCACTTTTATCTTTCTTGTTAAAACACTGATTTAACATGACAACGAATCAGTAAATAGATCACATTGATTGGACATGAAGCAAGTTCCTTTCCTCTTCCATTCAAAATAATGAATATAGGATTCACAGTAAACTAAAAGTTGTTTTCATGATAAGACGAAGTACAGGGAACCGTGGTAGTCAGATAATTTTTCAGTTTTGTACTGAGACTAATCACTTTTAAGTATGTGAAGCTTCAAATTTATGACAGTTAAACTCTATTGTAAACAAACAGGTAATCTGGACTCCAGTAATTGCAATTTTCAACACTCATCAAGATATCTTGGAGCTAATTGACATATCATTGCATGGTAGGCCACACATTTGTCAAGCTTTAATTGTTCATCCAAGTTTATCGATGAATTTCCCACTGTAAATATTGAGCTGAGTGGTACGACACCGTCATTCTGTTACTTATTGTTAGGTGAAAGGAGTCAGTCAGTAGAAAACCCAAAAACTATGTTTCGTGCTTGCTGTTACTCATCAGCTGGTGATATTCAATGCAAGTAGAGATAAATGGTATTATTTCAACAAAATGATTTCGATTAGAAGATAAACAGAGAGAAAATCAGTTATAACCTGCCTATAGCTTCCACAACCTTAAAACTAGATGACCCAGGTTGGATGGAACTTAGTGTTCCTCGTAATTGACATATGTGCAAATATGCGTAAAATCTTGATCCTAAGTTTCATCTGCATTAACTGCAAGTTTACGAGACAATTTTATCCTATTTGATTTTTTGAACACAGTGGAGGTGTGTGACGTAAATTTATTACGGTTCAACCAGATTCGAAGCTGAAATTCATCTAAAACATTTACAGTACGTATGCTCTAGACAATTAGGAAATTTACCTGATAATGAATTTGATCGGCTTCCAAACAACATTGAAAAGCCTACAACTGCTCTTTTTTATGGCATGCATTACTGTTGTATATGAGTTGAATGGCGTTGGAAAATATTTGTTCGGTAATTCGTACGCAGTGTTTAAAAGAACGAACTAGGAACTAGAAAATCTCATGGCACAGTGTAATTTGCATCTTGAAAAAACGTTAGTACCCTGTAATTAAGATCATTTTGCAACCTGTATGGCTTAACCATTTTATCTAATCTGATTGTATTTATAAATATTAAGGGACTATGAATTCAGATAGAATACTGTGTTGTTTCAAAAATGTTGAGTTTGATCTTCTTAACAACGCTATACCGAATCTCACTATTTTGTCACTCCTCTTTCCTTTCTTCTCGTACTTTATATTTCTTTTGACTGCTTTTACTTATCTTCATCCTTCACCTCACTACCTTTTTACTTGATGTGCTGATATGAGGTGTGGCAACTCGGACCGTTACGCAGTAATGCCTGGTCCTATGTTGATAATGATGATGATGAGTTTGATCTAGACATCTGTTATATCCATATTCTCCTATATTATTTAATGTAAGCTTTAAGCTAGTAGATAGAAAACGTCATCAATACTCATGGACATACGAAGTACTACACGTAGAACGTTTGAACACGCACTGATATAAATGTACTTCTGAAAAAGATTCAGGTTTTTTCATGTTAATGTTATTATCCGGTCTGTATTAAACAACCCTTTTATTTCTGGTTAACATATTTCTCTTACCTAGTAACACTATTGGTTATACTGATTTATGAGGCCAAATTACATAAACTAAGGGTTGAAGTGATTCAAATATATAGGGAGAATTATTTCTAAAATCTTATTCAATTATGATCGAATGCACCTAAACAGCTTTGAAGAATGCTAAATACACTCCCAGCTGATGAGCTCGAACCAATCCATAGAGTTTTATAGTTCAGTTCCTTAGCTAATGTAAGAGATCGTACTTTAGGATGCTGACTGGATAGTTAGCATCACTGCCTGGAATTTAAAAAAACTACTTAAATTTATTGAATTTCAACGTTAGTTTACTTTTAACTTGATTAGAATAAATCTAGTCACAAAAGTATTCATTCATTTGTATTTTGTAAGAAAAAGTACTTAAATATGCATATAGTTAAGTAGAAAAAAAACAACAATAAAACCTATCCAAATAAAATCCTCACTTTAATTGTCGGTGCAGTCTCAAGTTTCTTTGTCCACAGCGTAAACTGTATCATAACACTTAAACCAAATTCATTACCGGATGACCATTCAAATACATATTCTGTATCCGGTATTAAGCCTTTAACTGGTATCACTGCAGTTTGCGGTTGAGAACTGACTGATGTTAAAATGGTTTTATCCAATGGATCATTACTATCAGCTGGTGATGCAGATGGCTGACCTTCAGAGTCTAAATAGACTGATAAACTTGCCAATGTAGACGAAAGATGAAATGTCTGTTAGGGAGATAGAAAGAGAAGGAATCGTTCAAAGTAAACAGATGGAGAAATATTTTGTAAGAATATTATGAAATGGTTGAAATTATGCATTAAGCAAGCTTCAATGAAGTTTTCACAGTAGCCTGTCAATCGCATTCAGCATGTGAAGGTTAGCAATACTTTATGAGTGCAGAGACTGCGGTCGACAGATTAAGTTTACGGGCAAGTGTCTACACCAAAAAGTCACAACTGTGTTCTTCATACTGCTAAAATGAGAGTTATTGAGGAATTACTATGGGTAGAAAAAGTACTATCCACCACTCTTATCTGTGCACTCACAGCACACCTGACATGGACGTTCAATGAGAAAAGTGAGTGAAAGTTCAGAGAACGTTTTTAAACAAAGTATAAAGATGATCATGAAACGTGTTTACTTCTCCACAATTTAGTAGAAATGGTCTTACAACTGAAGATATACAGTACTCCGTTTATCAATATAAGTATGTATGATGTATGATCTTATACATTTCGGGTTTTCAAGGGAAATCGTTTACTTGAAATAAGCAAAAAGGCAAAAATAGTCTCAGTGCTTTTCGACTTGGGAACTAAAGTGTATTCATTATATCACTATTCACATTTACAATTGTTATACAATAAACTACTATGGGGAGCATAATTACAGCTAGATATACTCTCCTTCACAATGGGTCTTGTTTGATCAAGAAAGGTGAACTTATGAAAATTAAGTTTCATAGTTCTTAGAATTTATCAGAATATTATATCTAAAATGCTGGTGAAATTAGTATATCCTGGAGACTTGAGTTCATATACGCCTTTCTGAAATCGGAAAGGCCAATTAAGGTTACAACTGGCCACTTATGGGACTGAATTTTATGGGGAAATGTTTTGCTAACTGGTAATCAAATGGATATGTAAAGTTATAAGGGAACAGCAACTTGTGGTTCAATATTACTTTGTCATATTTTACAGTATTCTAACTAGTTAACAGAAGTACTTGACTGGTGTAAGCAACAAGTGATTTTATCATTTACTAGTTAAGTTATGCATGACAGGCTTGAAATCTATGGTGACTTGTTAACTCACAATACACCCTTCTAAAAGTGGAACAAAACAATACTGTGGTAAAGGAGAAAGTTTTGCGTCTCTAGATTGTAGAAATGGAAATAATGCATTCCAATGCCAGGAATACTGATTTAATTGAACTATTTCAAATTTCTGGGTATAAACTGAGGTGGAAGTTCCGGCCATAGCAGTGGAAATATGACTCAAGCATCTGATTTCGAATCACTTAGTAACGCAATCAGATTCTGCTCGACTTATCGAAGTTTGAGCAACTGGGTGTAGTAATCACCCTTTAAGTAGTAGCTTCGGTCTAGAGCATCTACTCCCAAAAATATAACACCTAAATAAGCAATAGATAAAAAACAAATCTAGTTTAGAATGTCTCATTTTTCTGTTTTCAAAGTACCTCCTATAAACCATTCCGACATCATATGTATTCCCTTTAATAAGCTAAATACTCAGCGGATGATACGTCTTTATCCACCAAGTTCATCATTTCAGTCATATATTCCAAGTTAATTCATTTGAAATTATAATTTTGCGTTACGGCTTTTGTGGTACTCACCCAGCATTCCTAATGACCAATCACGGTGGTAGTCTACCTACACAGAGATGAATGCTTTCGAGAAAGATGCTCATATTAACCTACTAGTGCACCACATAATACATTTTAACTCACAAATAGATGTGAAACAATTGTACACAAGATAATTTTGCAACCAGTCTTCCTGATACTGGTGTTTAGGTCAAGATATCATAACGAATATTGACCTAGTTTGTTTTTGAAGTAATGTTGTTTAGTAATGATTTAAAATGTTTTGTGTGTCAAAATAAAATATTTGTTGTTGAAGCGATCCCCAGAAACGAGTGTAGTACTAGTGAGAGGTATATTCGGTCCTAAATGCCATTGCCCATGGTGTATATCAGCAGTCCGAAAAAGACTACGGCCATGAATCTGTCGGAATTATGGGACCATAGATCAAGCCTCCAAGAGGAATAACTTCTCGGGAAGGTGAGCTGCAAACAGGTCTGCAAGATTGTGGAGACGCAGTTAGATGTGGCCCACGCACGTCTACCCACACGGAGAAGAGTAAAGCCAACAAACCTAACACCTGACGAATGTGGATGTATTGAAGCCTAACAGTTGAGAGGGTTCTGTGGTAACACTGATCACTTCGACGGGGTGTAAACAGAATACTCTATTAGTAGCTTTTCTTTTAATATGGATGCATTCCTTGGATACCTTCTACTGGGGGAGGGGATTGATCCGCCAGGCTTGTGTTGGAGTGTCCATATATCTGAAGATTGACGTGGAACTTGAAGCTGAGTAAAAAATTATGCTGAACCCTCAGTCAGCACGAGCATCCACCAAACTTAAATTTATAGCTTGATGAGTACTTAAATGTGATTTTGTTTAGGACAGTAAGGAAGCTTATTATTTCCAACTCACTTTTGCAGGTGCAAATATAACCTTCTGTGTAACAATACGTTCTGTAGGTATATTATCCGTTTTCAATTTTGGATTGGTTATTCCAAATACAATTGCACGTGGACCAGTACATAGTACAGTTATCTAAAATGAAAATAATGTGCACGCAAAAACTTTACTAACAACAAGTGTAGAAAAGATTAAAGGTTTTTAACATTACTACTGATTAGAAGTTATTCAGTGTTTGCTTACATGACTATATCTGTTAGCCGATGCTAGTATAATAGAATAGATTCATCACCAAAGGTGAATTCACAATATTCATTTCACATCCAACTACTTTGCTAACACAGAAATAAACAGTGATGGGAAAGAGGGGAGGTGAAGGCACTTAGCTACTTTGTGCACATCCTGCGGTGGACAATGGGCCACATCAATTGTGTGAGGTATAGTGTTACTACCTGACTGCCAAAACCTCGGTAATTGGAGCCGGGTACGAACTCATGAATCAACGATGAGTGAAATATTATATTGTTGACCGTTTATTGGCCACTTCCTTGATTATGAAACCCAATTTTTAGGCTAGATAGTATAGTAAGTAGTAGTGGTAGTAGTAGTAGTAGTAGTAGTAGTAGTAGTAACACAGCTGAATCGTTGGAAGTCTGCGTCATAGAGATATGATAATATGACGATATTCGAAAAGACTTATCAGCAAGTATCTGCAAAACAAGGGAAATGGACCAAGGTGTTACTGACGGTCATCACCAACTTCCAAGACTCTTGAAAGTGAAATTGTCAGTCTCAATAGTCCAACAAACCCAGTAAAAAAACATCGGCACAAATGTGGTGCATAGTTGAGTAGTAATTTCATATTAATTTTCGACCACTACAGGTTTAAAGTAGGTAGTGAAAGTTATAAAGTTATTTACAGCCCTAAAGAGTAAATCTCTGGTAGCTTAGCGATTAAATATACGTCTGAATAAAATGCTATAAAACATAATCTTTATATGAAGACTAATCGTTGTATACGTTTGCTCAAATCAGGGTTAATGGGAAGGCGTTTTAACGATGGGATTATTAACTGGAAATGGAGTGCTGAACTTGTGAATAACAGCTCCATTCACTGCTCACTACTCAATACTAATGTAGGATAATCTCAGCAGTAATAATTAATCTGGCTAACAATCGATGTATTGATTTTGTGCTTACTGGTTATATAACTCAAATGTTCACATTTATATAGATGATTCAAGACTTTAGCTAGTAAGTAGTTGACGTAAAAATGAGGGTTAAGACTACTGAACTTCATTCACTTTCAGAAATAGCAGGTTACCAGAAAGCAAAAAAATAGGTGTCTGATCATGTAGCCGAATATCAAACTGTTTCGTCTTTTAATCGAGTCAGGGCACTGATAAAAATATTAATGATGAAAATGTTCATTTTATTTTCATGGCTCATGAAAACATGGTGAAATAGTCAGTTTAGGTATTCAGTTTTGCTGTGGACACTAAGCAAGCAAAATCTCTGTATCTAAGTTACTCAACTACACCCTATGGTAAACAAATACTGTAGTTTCCTATAAGAAGAATGAAATTAATTTAGAGAAGTCTGGATATCTAGAACGATTGTTGCTATGTAACGAACTAACAATCAATGAATTTGTCGATTTTGTTTTCTGGAAATAACTAATCATAGGGAACGTATACACTGGCTGGATTCATTCATGAAATGTACGTGAAACTGTTCATTTTTTGTCAGGTAAAAGAGATTTTAAGTAACGGAATACATAAAGATGATGATCTCTCATTTCACGGCGTGTTCGTTTCGAGGATAATTCACTAAGTTTGAAGACTAAGTAACGTTTGAAAAAGTCATTTGGGAAAACTAATCTACAAGTGAATCAAGTGGCGTAGCGATATTTACCTACTCTCAATAAGCACCCAAATAACTTAAACGTGGTTTACAGGACAAGAACTATTCTTGTCAGCAACTTCTCCCTCAGGTCATACAATTGTTTATCGGTATTGGTCCATCAGGAAATAAATGGATGCTTGAAATAGTGAGATTATCATAACAATGAGTCTTCAATATTCAATAGTAGTGGAATTAATTCTCTTCAGATGAGATTTATGGTTAAGATAATGCCAAAATTGAATATTATTGAAATATAATTCAAAATTAATTAGTCGGGTAGATGGTATTCTACCTTATGTGACATTGGGTGGTCAAAACCAGTTATCTCAATGGGTTTCTTTATTTATATTTTATATTTATTTATATTTATTTATGTATTTATTTTTTTTATTTTTTTATTTTTTTATTTTTATTTTTTTTTAATTTATTTATATTTATTTATATTTATTTTATTTATAAATATAGTGATGAAAGTACACACTTTTTAGGTGAATTCTATTTACTTTGATCATTAACTATGTGCGAATAAGCATAAGCTTAAATAAAGGAGAAATGAAATGCAGTGTACGGTATTGTATGTGAATGCAAAGTCTTAATCATAATCATTCACGATGAATAAGAAAATTCTTTAAGATAACTAATTCTGACCACTTAATGTCACATAAAACACAACATCATCAACTAAATTAGTTAATTTTGAACTGTATTTCAGTAATATTTGATCCTAACATTGTCTTTCTCTTTTTTTCTGAAGAGAATTCCTTTACCAGTGAATGTTGAAGTTTCACTATCATGAAAATCTTATTGTCGCTAACATAAATTTTTATTACTTGATGAAACAGTTTAAACCACGAGTATAAACAGCTGTATAGCCTACGGAAGAAGTTTGCAACAAGAATATTCTTCGTCGGGTTAAATGCAATATAATTTTTAGAGGAAATTTTCATACAGCTTAAACGCAAATGATCGCCAACAGTTTTCGAAAACACATTAGGAATGGTAACTACATTACCGTCTTATTTGACAACTAATAAACTAATTTACACCTTTGAAAGGAGTTCTGTCTTTGCCGAGCATTTTTACTGACACCCATGCCAAAACAGGGATTGACTGAACCATTACAGTTATGAGTCGATGGGGAATAAAAGTAAAAGATATTATAAGTAGGAGTGAGTGAGTTTAATAGTTCAAACTGTAGTAAAACATTGTATGCTATTGCTTGCATTATGCTGACATTGACCGGACTTTATTGGGATATAGGCTGTTGCGAGGATGCCTTGATATTATGTCTATTTTCAGTCCGATGTTGATGATGGATAATGACTGAAAGTAGAATTCAAGACGCATGCAGTATCAGCGTATTATCTCAGGAGCCCATTTGCTAATAGAGACTGATCAATTTGGTTCGACCAACAATTGGAAATTACAATCTATGACATGAAAACTGTACTCCTAGAACTAGTAAAAGCTGTCGTGACCCAGTGTCCTACTGGATAATACTTTGGTCTTTGGAGCGATCGGTTCTGGGTTCAAGTCTTCGTGGGGATAACATCACTCACTGAGAGAAAGGCATATCCAGTCGACGAGTCCTAAACAGGATGAAACGCGAGTACTGGATTCCACTGCTAGCCATTATCCATCATTACTACCAAACTGTAATATAATTCGTTCAAAATCCTAGCGAAGTCTATGCATCCATGCATCTGAGAGATCTTATGGTAAGATAGAAGTTATTAACTCCTTTGCTATAAATCATCTTCTAAGTCAATTTTAGTTAGGTAGCATTTGTTTGGTGTCAGTTTGTCTTGGCCTATTGGTATCGTGTCAGACAGGAAAAAATATTCAGGAAGGAAAAGTGTTGGAAACAATTCATTCTATGCACAAATAACAGTCAGTTTATGTTAAAGGTTTTAGCTCCAATTAAAAAAACAAAAAAAGGTTTTCTATGGCTATTCTTCAATCTAACAACTGGTATTTTATCAAAGTTGTGATAATTCGGAGCGCATAAATATCATTTAAAAGGTTTTCAGATGAATAATTAGTTGGGATAAAAACTATACACCTTTAGATTTATAAATCAATCGGACTTGTGAATAAGAAACAGCGGATTAAGATACTGTGTGCATAAGAGTCTTGTGTAACGAGATGAAACTATGGAATCCTATTGGTAAATCACAATGACCTTAGGAACATACGAAGAGATTTTTAGTTTTAGCATTATAGGGAATAAATCTAATAAATCTAAGATCATCACTATCCGAATTAGTTCACAATTCATGCCTCATTGTACATGTGCATATCAAGAAAAATATTACGTTATCGCATAAATGACTTTGCATGCATATATATATATATATATATATATATATATATATATAAAGTACAAAATCCCATCAGCTATCATTCTTCCGCTACTTAATAAACGCAGAACACTTCAATCGAGTGAACCGTGTTCTGAGGTCTGATTTTGTTAATCGTCATTCACAGCCACACTGATAAAGCTGTTGCGAATAAATGTCAGCAACAATAGTCTCGTTTTGTTCCTTTTCACACGGGAAAGTGAAAAAATTTATCATAACTGAAGAGATAGTGAAATGGCTTCTTTTTCCTGTGATTATTTGATTAAAAAATGCTATCACATTTTATACTATATTTTCATTGTCATTCAACAGGACTTGTACAGGATTTTTTATGAAAATAAGACCCTCAAACTGAACAAACATACTTTTAAAACTGTCGAAGTTGCAGAAGTAAATATTATTTTTGGGTTTTGTTTCTAAGACAATCTTGCAGTCTTTGTCAAACCTTTCAGTGGAATGTGTAAGCTTTTTCTACTTACTGATGCTTGTTGGTGACGATAGGAGGAAGATAATGCAAAGCAAACGACAGATTTTTATACTTTTTCGTTTTCCTCACCGCACTTTATGGCGGAATCGACGAAAGACCAGATGGTTGAGAAATGCAACTAAAAGTTACCTAAAACCTAATTTCCAAGGATTAATTCATACAGATGTATCATCAACACTACTGGGATCATGGATTATGCTGTGACCTCAGGGTCAAACTCTCCTGTCAATAAGAGGTTTGCTGAACAGGTGCTGTTTGTATTGGTTAGTTATATTAGAGCAACCACTTAAGTCCTGTACAATCTTGAGTACTGACTGAATTATGTTCACTTTTCAACGTGGTCAACAAGCTAGGAGGCATAGCATCGTAGTGAACTTTGATGGGTGTTAGTTGGTTGGAGGTAATCAGCAGGAATTCCTGGAACTCAGATGGGTAACTAGTTCCCTCAAGGTTGCAGATACACCTTTCTGACGAGTGCTAACAAGCATGAAACCTAGGTGGATCAAGGATTCGCATCGACCGGCTGCAACTAACTAAGAGATTTTCTTTTATAAACTATAGAAAAGGGAAACATATACAACAGACCCATTAACTTACATTTGGTGCAGTTGGCTTTGTTGCTTCACGTAGAAATACCTCTCGATATATTGTCCGATTGTCTATATGAGTATATTCACATCGTACAATAGCTTCACGTCCATAGCGTTGATTCATATGAATCTCATAGGTGGCATTAATTCTGAAAGTTAAAATTTAAAAGGAAAATAACATTTAAATCAGTTCATCAGAGAATATTGTAGGTCTTTTAGAAGAAATGTGTCCACTGACGCACATTTCATATTTATATTTAAAGTGATTTAGACATGAGAAATTATTTATGGTGATTCATAATGCAAGCTGTTACTGTTATTGTAGGTAAGATGGTAGTGTGGGTGGGTACTACTTTTGAGAATACTTTCAAGTAGTAGATAATGTAGCATGGGACAACGATCGAATGATGAAGATTCAAGAGGAAAGAAGACAGAATTTCAATTAAAAATAAGGAGGCCAAGCACACTGTATACAAGAGTGCAAAAATGTGTTTTTATATGGCTTTTTCGATTTCGCGGTTACAATTTTCCTATACAGAATCTCTGTTACTTCCTTGGACTTCTTTGAAGTGCATTTAAGTATATTTTCTCTTATAACTGCGAATATCTTGTACTTTGAATGATAGTCACAATGTACATTTTGTGTTCACAACTGTTGTACACCCCACTGTTCAGATATTTATCGTATGTAATGTTAAGATTGTACTCTCGATCGCTTATTAAATTGAATACAAAACGAGATAATAGTAAACTTTCTTCACTATTTTTTTATACACCAATGTACCGATTAAGTGTTTATACAAATGAGTGACAAGGCCATCGAATAAAAGTTATTAAGAATAGAGAAAGCCATTTAGGCTAGAGAATGGGCGACAAATTTTGCAGCTACACACTTGTTTCTTATGAACTGTAAGATTTCGAAAAAACAATTAACAAATGAAAAGGAAGCTTATAAAAAGCAGCTGAAAGACAGTAATTTACAATGACTGCGTAGGTAATACTTCTAAAATGAATAAAAACTATTTCATTAGGAATAAGACTTTAAAGTTTCATTTTTTGTCTTTGTTTATCATCTTTTCTTCTTGTCATGTAAGTTTATTAGGTTATTACAATAAACTTTACAAACTTCAGTTTCGAAGCGAATTTGGAAAACAGATTACCTATGATAGTGTATCGCTTTGAAGTATGACGTACGTATTTTACGAAATGAGCTTTTTGCCTTTCATCTATCCCATATAAACTCTGCGCGTCTCTGCTTTAATCGGTTACTTAAGAATATGGTGAGAGGAGAAGCTTTTATGCTAATGTTGTTTAACTCTTGTTGAATGCACTCATTCGACTCCCTAGTTTGCTGAGTATCTGTTTTGTAAACGATGCAAAAAGATTTCTTTCCTGTATATGCATTTTTATTTTCTCTGTAAAGTTGTCTGAATAAAAGATAGAGGAAAACAAATGGAGAGGCCCTTGTGTGAACATGATATCATGTGAAACATTAACGGGTCTCACACTGAAATATATAAATAGTGAGTCACGCAACTAATTTTAATATATACGATTTTAAAATTCATCAGACTAGCGTTTTAAAACGATGGTGAGTGAATATAAAGCTTAGTCAACATGTCAATAACCGGAACTACCCTCAAAAAGTACAGATATTTGGCTGTTTAGGTTTTCAGCTGAGAACTTACGAAAATACCGATTAAGTTTAGAGTATATGAACTGCATCTTCTATAACTTTTAGAATATCATGACTCCTAAAAGTAAGCGAATTCTTTCTAGTCTGAAAAAACAACTTCTGAAGAAAAAGGTTGATTCGCAACTACCTATGATTTACCGTCATCCATAAGTTGCTAATAACAGTAGTCCACAGAGTTCATACAGTTGGTTTTGTTATCAAAGTACTCTATATGTTAAACAGGTTGTTATTCTATTTCAGAGAATTAGCAGTACCATCTATCTATACTGTGTGACTGTTAAGTGTAAATATTATCATGAGACAAAGCTGTTGACAACCAGCGGACAAAGTCATGGATCAACGTGGTGTCTTAAAGAAAGGTGGAGCGGTTTTAGTTGAGACAATTCACAAGAGCATATGAACAAAAAATGAGCAGTAGTAAAAGGGCAATAGAACAAAGAAGAAGAACTTTTGAAGAGAGAAGGAGCAAAAAGGCGACTTTCAAAGAGATGTTTAGAATTTCCAAGTTAAGAAAGGGTGAATATACCGTAGCTATTATAAGTAACTCGACACCCTATAAACGAAAATCACCAGTAATTTGTTTCTAACGTCATCATAACCATAATCAAAGAGCTCATACTACCGCTCTGTTCAAGAAATACTCTTTGATTAAAACAATACATATCATACCTTGTCCTGGCCACTATTATTCTTTTTTCTAACCGTTTCTTAGTTCAGTCAAAACAGTATTCTTCAGTCGATGATGGCAAGACAAACAGAAGTCAAGTTGACAGACTTCTTATCATACATATATAAATCGGTTAAGAAGCTGTCCGATACTGCGGAAAACTGTAAGGCTGAATCTTCTTAACTCAAAATCCATTGGAAGCACTTATCCTCCTAATATCCTATGGAGTCAAGTGTTGAACCATCAGGTTTGTCAGTAAATTAATTAGCACCAAGCTTAGGTGCCAGACTCCACTGGTTGGTACTTCCAGGAAATAGAGCAACCATCACCTCCAATAACCAATAACTAGCTGTACTCATTACTCACTCCACTGAACTTATATCTTATGATTCTTCCCTATCAAACATTTAGGATAGCAACCTCTATACGACGCCACTGATAAAAAGTGAGGAAAAAAATTGGTTTACAGTTTTCTTCCAGATGATATCAGTTAAAAGTATCAACCACTTTTCAAATCAATCGACCACTCAAAAGAAACACCAAACCGAGTGGTTAAATATGCTCAATAATATGTATTCTATTTTTTTTATTTCCAAGGAATAATGATGAACGATTATATATTAGAAATGTCATAACTGTTTTCATTTAACGGGATGTTTTATGTACTCGTTGTTGGATAAAGTAATGCTACTGAAAAAAAATTTGGTCGGATTTTTTTATTTGCAAGCGGAATGCATATTTCCAGCAAAATAGAAAACAGAAGCAATTGACTTTAAAAACAAAAGGAGAATGGAGAAAAGCGAGAGAAACAAAGGGAGCAGTATTTAATGGTAAATTACCATAGGTTTTCACCTTAACGATAAATATATAAAAAACTCAATGTTTACAAATTAAATTTCCCCTTATGAGATTGATTTTCATTTACTACTGAGAATGAATTGTGAAGTAATAACTGGGACTGATACGACAAAGCTGTGATTCACTTATCTACAGTAGATTTGATGTGAAATGTTAGGAATTAGATAGCAGGTAGCTATCACCTAGGCTTTATGCTAGTTAGCATTATTAAACAAGGTGTATTCAAAAACAAAGAGAAACTAGTGTTTTCCTCGTTGATTCAAACTGACGTCACTCAGTGTTCACCTAGGAAGCTTCACCACCTACTTTCACAGACCAGTGTTAGCCTGTGGGTCTGGATTATGTACACGAATTGCGTAAGACACGTTCATAGTCTCAGTAAGATCAGAAAAACAGTGGTTATTTGCTTCGTAAGAAATACTCAGAAGCTGTCTGATGCTAAATAGTGCATTCTTTTAACTCCGAAACTCAGTTACTAAGATAAAGTTGTTGCATAAGAGTCCATGTTTCCCCTAGACATGGAAGGTTTTCCTGAATATTAAGATTCCTAAGTGGGTATTAAGGTAGAATATAACTTCATGCTACTGTATTAGTTAGACATAATAACAGTAAGGCAGTATTTTCTACTGGATAATACTTTGAACACTTCAGCTTGTGAAACTGGGAATATCTTTTTAGTATCTGACAGCTAGCTATTCTTCTCTAACCAGGATAAATGTCCTTTGTGAATGCCACGATCAACTATTGGGTTAATCAACATTGAAGATTTATAATATCTTCATATCAAAACGAGAATTCCACGAACAGAGATGAATGAATCACTAAAGTTTCACGTGTTTTATTATGAGTACCTCAAAATACTGAAAATTTAGCTGATCTTTATTAGTCACTCCCTCTTCACTGATGTTATTCCTTTTGCTTACTTTAGTGTTCTAAAACGTTTGTTGTATTTCTCGTTCACTGTTGTTTAAAAACGTAACGCCTCTTACCAGTTAAATTTCTCACTGTCTATCTCATGTCGCTGAGACGGTTCTCAAACCTACCACACCTTTATTAACATTACGGTTCGAACGTATATTTGTTTGGCACGTGTAATTGGTGGTACTTTATTGTCTAACATCTGTGTTTGGTATTAAAGCTTTATTCATCTCTTACAGTTTTAGCACAATTATGGTTTAATTACAGAACTGTCATAAAATTATTGAAGTAACTGTCTCTATAGCATCTACATTCACGTTTGAAAAAAATGAAAGAAATGAACTATACTACATAGGGCTCTTTCCTGCATGAATAGTTTTACAGCTATGTATCATTATAGGATAGTTATGAATGCAGTGACTAGTCACAAAAGAGTAACCAATTTCATCTTGGATAAACAAAAATGCTGTTAGAACTTTACCGACTATTATGGAATTTCATTATCAAACTAAGAGACTAACCACCTCAATTCACTTCGATTAGTGTTAGATCGTTGAAGGCGATTTCAGGGGTACTTACAGCTCCGTATTAAAGTCTGTGCATGCCGCACTGGGTGATACAAGTTCATATCTCTCAGGTAAAGTAAATTCTCTCAAAGTTGTAGATAAGCGTTACTGACGAGCTCCGACAGGCATGAAAAAACCCCAGCACCAGACATTAAGAAAAGGAAGTCGATAGCTAAAGCCTTGTTCCTGGAGTTAACACAAAAACATCCAGTGGAAATCACTCGGTGGCTGTCTCAGATTCCTATAAAATTCTAAAACTCTTAGTATATGTGAAGAAAAAGAAATAAAACTATATACACCTAATAATACTGTTTCATTATGTACTATACTTAGCTAATAAACTGACATGAACTTATGCTTTACCGCAACGCTTAATTTCTACTCTTATGCTTAAATTGTCCCATTCATTAAAACCACTTACCCAATGAACTTTCCTGACTTGTAATCAATCTGACTGACTTCGACACGGTCGAGAGGTTCTCCTTCTATATTGAAAATCTTCATTTTTATTGATGGTGTTTCATCTTTTACCGGTTGACTGAAGTCTTTACGTCCAACTGTACCAATACCAGCACCATCAACACCACCAATGTCTCCAGTTATTGATCTACTAATCATAGTCGATTCATCACGAATAGTATGTTGGCTGCTGTCTGAATTTTTTACTGCCAGTGGATAACCTTTAACTACACATGATGCTTTCCATGGTTTATGGCCAAGGAAGTAATTATGCCCAAAGGGGATTATTTCTAGTTGTGGTTCAGAATGTACCAAAACATGTCCTATTGCTTGAGCTTCACCAGCTTGATTCCAAACTGTACATCGATAAACTCCATGATCACTACGTTTAAGATCTGATTTTGGTTGGAATTGGAAAGAACAGTCAAAAAATAAATTGAAATAACCATCCAGATGAACACAAAACGTTTTCATTCATTGATAAATAAAATATATAATGCGAAGACTGCTAGAAGACGATTATAAATGCACAAATTATTGAATCAGAAAGTTAAATTGAAAGCAGTCATACAATAGAAACTTTCAGTGACGCTGTATACTGTTTGACTACTTTGGACGCAGTTACTTTGTCACTATTTTATGGTTGTAATTGTTCGACAAAATTAATATGGATGATTTTGAACGTAGAAATCATGTTTACCTAGCACTGGCAATGAAATAATAAAAATCATTGGTCATATCTATTCCCGGTCCATAAAAGTGGGGCTGATTGAACCGGATGGTTAGAGTTGTTCACACTGGCCTCCAGTAATAGCTGATTCATCTTTCATTTCCCTATAAGATTTCTGTGAGATTGCATTTTCGTTCGTTCTAGTGAGTCTTTCTGGTTGGATGGTTTATACAACAAGATCTTATAAGATAACAAGTTTTAGTTGGACTACCTCAGTAGTACAATCCCTAAGATGTCATGTCGAATGAAAACTGATTTTTGCTTCTCCTAGAGTTGCCTTTCAGGGCTTCCAAAACCGCTCATCTATCTCTGAAACTTACTTTTCAGAGCAAATGGCCAAGGTACCTCTGTCCCTGAACGTGCTGCTGATAAGGATATTGGATGATGTAGATAACCGAAACTACAAAACATAGCCTTTAAAAATGTATATTTTGTTCATTACGGAACAAGTACTCAAAAGATCCATTCTGAAAATATAACCAAGACTGAGTTGAAATTTCTATAACATTTTATTTGAAAATGAATGGATAGCTTGCGGCATCGACTCAAGTAGGTTCAAAATCCACCAACATGATGGCTATCATTCGCATAAATGCCCTAATATAATGATTAAATTAGACTAACCACTCAAATTCTTCCAGGATATTCGTAACAACTATGGACTGGATTCTTATAGTCATCATTTATCTCAAAAAATAATCTCTGGACAAATCTAGAATTAAAAACAGATACTCCAACTGAAATGTCAAAACCGTTCAGGGATGATTAGCGTAGCCATTTCGAGGACCACATTCTACTGTGGACAACTACTCCAATGATATGTTAGAAGTGAAACATCGACTTCGACCCAATGAGTGTCCATTTATCAGTTTAATTGCTTTTTCGAAGCAACTTACAATGATACCCTTTAATTAAATAATGTAGCTTCATTGCCTACAGGAGGAAAAGAGTATGACAGTACCACTCCTGAAAACCTCAACATATCTGGACGACTGACGCCTAAGCCTGATCCTTCTGCTCATACATAAGATTCCTTATCAGACTTTTATGCTTTACATTTCATCTTTTCAACTGTTTCTCGAGATTTTACATACTATCAGACAAGTAATAACACTAGGAAGGTGATGAACAGCCTATGGCAAAATTGTTGAAGTGGCACAAAAATGAGATGTTTATATTTGCACAAATATGAATGAGTAGCTCTTGCAGATGGTGAAAGTTTCATATGCCCTAAAGGAACTTAGTCTAATGAATACAAAACTTCTAAACCTAATTAATATACAACCAAAAATATCTTACCGCTAAGCACTTAGACAGCCTAAATGAAAATATATACGGATACAACCTAACTTTTTATAGATTAATTAGGATCAGGTAATTCACACTGTCGGAAATTAAAGTCTAGACAATAAAATGAGGATTATCTGACAATGTTGCTTCACAAGTGTTGGTAATTTACATAGAAGGTTTGAGAAAGTGAAGAATTATGATAAGTATTACTTTTTCACCTTATCAAAGCCGACTGTCAGGCGAAAATAATAATCAGAAGGGAAGCACCAAGTTAGCAGAATACTTCTTTCTGCTTAAATAAAACAACCATTGAGTGAAAGTAAGCAGAGTAGTTGGATGTAGATAAATCAGTATCCTAATTTGCCACTAAAAATACTGGACTGACTAATTATAGCGTATTCCAGATAGCTATCACAGATCGACATCAGCCAGAGAAGTGTTGACAAACTAGAATCATTGGATCAGTGTTTTGTTCTCATGTGGCACTACTACTAAGGAGTAGTCACTGCATCGAACAGATACCAACTGAATGATTTTCACACTGCGTCACAAACCGATAGAAGAAGGAAGGTGTAGAAAACTGGATGTCCACCCCATAGTAAAATGACAGCGTGCTTGCAGAGAGACCTAGATATCATAAACTCGATAGTGACTAAATTAGTGAGTTCGCATTTCTGAGATATTTAGAACTAACACACAACAACCATCCAGGGCTTTTATAGTGCGTTAGTCGATCTAAACCTTTAAAAAAACAGGCATAAAGCTAAAAATACGCTGTAATTATAATCTTTTAGGTAAAAAATGTCTATTCATCTACCTTGTTATTATGTAAATAGGATATTTCTTATAAGCTTGCCACCGTTTCATGAATATACTGTGAATATTGAAGTAAGATGCAGGAAAACGCCTAAGAATCTAATACAGATTACTAAAGTATAATGATATGAAGTGAATCATTTCATGAAATCCTCAGTGTTACTAAATAGACAACAAAAACAACCTACATTACATTACTGCAGTTTTGATGCCCTTTTTAATAAATGTGAAATTAATACTTAGGAAATACATAAACTATTCAGAAAAAATTCCCCAAGCAGAAAGACAAAAAGTAACTTAAACGGTTAACCTAGAAACCACTGAAATAAGTACGAAACTACATCTTTATATTTTATGAATAACCTAACTTTCTAGTTGAAAGCAATAAATCTAATCAGTTATTTTGGTATTTGCTACCATTGTCTTTAAATATTTGTCATTACGATTGGCTAAAACATTCAAGTAACGCTCAGGACCAACCCAGCAAATACAGAAAAAATCGATTAAGTTTTCTTCAGTTTGACTGGAAATATGGTTTTTCATAAAATAAAGAAACTTAGTTGGTTGTGTTACTAGTTGCTGGGTTCACTTTAGTGTCGTTCACTTATACCCTAAAATACTAGTTACTAACTACCAAAATTTAATGGTAAGACTGGTCTAACCTACCCACCAACACAAAAAACATAATTCATGTCAGCAATCTCCATTATTCATTCATCTAGTATACCTCTTATTTACGGACACCCATAGGCATACTTACAATAACTTCCACTGAAGTTACATTCCCTTGAATTCAATGTCTGATAAATAGGGATGAAAACAAGTACAAACCTGCATGGCGCTAGAACAACAAGGAATGTTAATGGATTCTCTTCAGATTTTTCCAGCCTAACTAGCGACAAAATACATGCATGACAGAATACGAGTATACTTTGAAACAACTTGATAAGAAACTATTGGTGGGAACGGAATCGGGTGTCAGTTCAGGTTAATGCGAATCAGTTGTGAAGTGGAAGAGATTGTTAAGAACATTGGGAAGATTAACAACTTATGAGATGCTTAAGTAAGTGCTACTTTCCACACTTCTCAGATTACATAACATCCACTATCTGATTTAAGAATAATGGGTACGGAGGAAAAAGATTGGATAAAAACTCAACTAGCTGATATTACCATACACGTGATCAAATCCAGCCAACAGAATTATCCAAATTTCACCAGACAGCGTTACAAAACTTAGTAGATGAAATTGTCGTTTTGTCAGAAAGTCACCTTCTATTCCCAGCAATAATTTCCGATCAATATGATGAAGGTATACGTGTATTTCGTTATGGATGTCCTGATACTCATCAGATAGTAAGCGGTTGAAGAAAAAACACAAGATACCTTAATTTCCAACTATTCTGCTACCAATATTATTCTAGCACCATTTAAATATGAAAAGATAAAAAATGTTTCAAAGTTTTGGAACAGTCACCCATTGAAAGCTTGTGAGGATTGATTGATGTCAAGGTAGAATTTTGCCATGAAATGACATCATTTGGATATCCATTGAAAACCTAGGATCACTGAACAACTGTTTCTTGGAGTGACTATGGAGATTACCCTAGCGACAACTGAAACAACCAATCAGGTTTCTTTATTTTGATTGAAAAGGTAGTTTTTCACAAAATAAAGAAGCGTTAATAGCTATCTCAGTTGTTGTCAGGGTGGCCTTTATAGTCAGTCGTTGCTTCCTGTTATGGGACTCCCCATCAGTTCTCAGCCATAATCTATTTAGTAAACGGATCTGTATTCAGTGGTCTACATTTTCCTACTGCTATCAATTCGCGACATCGCAACTATTATCCAATGCTATCAACGAGTATTTATCCTCCCATTCTACTTGGATGACTACCTAGATCATGGCTTCTCAGTAGAACTTCGATAAATCTATCTCAAAACATGTTACAAATGGGCGGTAGGCAATAATTTAGTCTGAGGAGTTGTAAGAAAATGAAAACCACTAAAATCAAACCCAGTAGGTCTGTCGCAACGTGCTCGCCAAGAGACCTGATAGTCATGGGCGTAATCCGTGATAGGGTTGTGGCTATGTACTACTTAGAAGTCCCATGCTGCGACGATAAAGCCATCCAGTGCTCACAGTTTTTCATTTTGTCAGTCCGTAATGAAAATTCAGTATTGAAAATAATGACCTACCGTTTTTATAGTCATGTATCAACAGTTTAGTCGGCTTTTGTGTTCTTTTTTTAAATACAAAATAATATCAATACTTTATGCTTCCTACAATGAAGCGACATCTCCACAACTGTGAAAGTTTGAATTTTATCTTTTATCTACATTTAAATTTTACAAATGTATTTTCCCTTTATTTTTTTTACTTCCTAAACTTTATTTTGTTAAGTAGAAGAGTTTGTTCTGATAACTTTTGTTACCATAATAATCTGGTAGAACTCGTGATACAATGGAATAATAAAAATTATCCAATAGGTGAAATTTTTATTTATTGATCGATGACCTAAAGAAAACTCTCCTACAATATGAATTGATTTTCTCCGA